ATGTGCTCCGTACTATTATGGCCATACCGATGGCTCTCAGGGCAGCAGCCAGCATTTCATCTCAATACCCATGTATCCCTTGAACTCGCTCAAATCAACCAGAGAGTTCTAAGTCGTTGGTCAGATCTTGATCTTGATCTTGCACATGTCCATGATGATGTGACTGGTAGAAGCACGATTAGAGTAAGAAGCCAATATATGGAATCGCAATAGACCATGGATCTGCTTACCTCCTTGCTGATCCAGCCGTCGTACTCATTCATAACGGGTCCAGTTATACGCATAAGACGAGTTCAGCCATAGTTATGCACTTATGCTTGATATTCGGATCACTTCCTACCATGTAGTAGTTCCTCTTATAAGGAGATTGCAGATCGCCTTAAACTCTCATGGTATGAGTCTTGTTTTTCTTGTCATTCTTAGGCTTTTTCTTCTACTTCTCGTCTTCCGTTTCCATCTTCAATCCGTCTTGGTCAAAGACGTTTCTCATCCTGGATAACCACCTTTTCCATTCCTGGCCTTGATCTGCGTCAACTTTCTTATTGCAGTTTTCTTTGTATACTATATTCCTTATTCTTTACCTGGGCCCTTGTTCCATGGGTATGGAAGACCTCGAAAAGAACCGGCCGTCCAGCCCCTCTCCAACCGACTATACAAAGCGATCCGCACCGTCACTCCAGGAAGACCATACATCTGCTCAAGAAGCAATCAGCTCGCGGAACATCGAGACCAAACGCTTCCCAGAAACAGATCTCTCTCGTGGAATTGTCGGATGGGATGGACAAAATGACCCTGCAAATCCCCAAAATTTCTCCTCAGGCCAAAAATGGGGTCTACTGGCACTAATGAGCTCTATCACCCTTATTTCACCACTTGCGTCGAGCATGTTTGCCCCCGCTGCAAGCTATGTGGCTGTTGACCTCGGGGTCACAAATGAGACGCTACTTTCCTTCAGCATTACAATTTTTTTGATTGGCTACACGGTGAGTAAATCCGTCTGATCTACTCTGTTGCCGAGGAACACGCAGAATAGGAGCCTAATGAGAAAGTCATAGTTCGGTCCACTGCTTATAGCACCTATGAGCGAGATCTACGGCCGAAGAATAGTGCTCAGCTGCGCCAACTGGTTTTTCGTCGTCTGGCAGATCGGATGTGCCCTCGCCCCCAACATTGAGTCTCTCGTTGTGTTTCGACTCTTTTCCGGAGTAGGCGGTTCCGGCTGCATTACCCTCGGAGCTGGTGTCATTGCTGATCTGTTCCCTGTCGAGCAACGCGGAATGGCAACATCGATCTGGAGCATGGGTCCGCTGATTGGCCCCGTCGTCGGGCCTATTTGTGGTGGTTTCATCGGTGAAGAAATCGGCTGGCGCTGGATCTTCTGGATACTATTGATTGCGAGCGGTGTCATCTCATTCGGAATCGAGTGTCTGAGCCGCGAGACATATGCTCCCGTGCTTATACGTTGGAAGACCGCAAAACTGGCCAAGGAGCTGGGTCGCACAGATTTGCGCAGTGCATACGAACCCGACAGCCAAGGCGTATCTGTGGCGTCAACCCTAAAGTTGGGGCTTATGCGACCTGTGCAGCTATTCTTCAAGTCGCCCATCGTTCTTCTGCTCTCAGTCTACATGTCTCTCATCTACGCTCTGTTATATCTCTTTTTTACCACCATCCCCGCAGTTTTCCAAATGCAATACGGGTTCACTACGGGCCTCTCCGGACTCGCCTACCTAGGCATCGGCATTGGTTTCTTTGTCGGTCTGGCGCTCATTGCACTCACAAGTGACAAAATCTTGATGAAAATGACAGCACAGAACGGAGGCAAGTCTGAGCCTGAGATGCGCTTACCCACCATGATCTTCTTTTCTTGCTTCTTGCCCGTGAGCTTCTTCTGGTACGGATGGTCGGCAGCCAAGCATGTGCATTGGATCGTGCCTATCATCGGCATGTGCCCGTTTGGTATCTCGATGATGGGCTTGTTCATGCCAATCCAGACGTATATCATCGATTGCTATCCTGCGTATGCGGCTTCCGCGAATGCCATCTTGACTGCTACACGATCATTGGTCGGTGCGTTGCTGCCCCTTGCTGGGCCTAGTATGTTTAAAAGTCTAGGCCTGGGGTGGGGAAATTCGTTGCTGGGATTCATTGCTCTAGCTTTTGTGCCGATCCCAATCTTCTTCACCAGATATGGCAAGGCTATTAGGGAGAAGTTTCCAGTCAATTTTGATGGGAGGAAAGCTTAAAGGGGAATTACGGATGCTTGCCGGCTCTCTGATTGACTGCGAGCGGAAGATATGGTGGTGAAAACGAGTGGCTGGTTTGGTTCTATATGTAATTCGTGTGTTGCTCGACGACGACAGCGAGACGGATATTCATTTGCTTCAATAGACTTATAGACATTGATTCTGAATATCAACAAATCGCATATAGAGACAATTCATGTTCAAATCACAGCCACAAAATAACATCCGGAAAGCAGGTAGTCACATGAATGCCGTGCACAATTCTTTATGCATGCATAGATTTATCCATTATTCCCAGCCTAACGGGACCGTAAATCTAAGTCCATATAACCACACTCCTTAAAGTTTGACCTTCCCAGCTATCTTCTCGGCATATGCTCAAAATGTTCTTAGACTCTTTAAGCGATCATAATGGTATCAAACCGCCATAACGCATCGTTAACTTCCTCGGAAAAGAAACGTCTCCGAGACAGGAGAGCCCAAGAAAATCTTCGAAAGAAACGAGAGAACCGTATCAAATACCTCGAAGAACGGGTGGAATTTTGTGAGACGCATCATGGAGCTTCATTAATGCAGCAGCTGCTTACGGCTGTCGATAGCCTTCGTCGGGAAAATGAGTTGTTGCGAGCTCGACAGGACCGATTGCGAAACATGATTGCGTCCTGGGATGCAGATGAGATTGGAGCAGCCTCGTCGGTGACATCCCAGCAACCGCGACGGTTAGAGAATGTAGGGTCTGTCGTCAATCCGAGAACTGCATGTCAGTGCGATCAAAGGGGAAAGGAATTAGCAGCGACTCCAAATTCAGTCGCCAACTTCGAGATTCCAGATCTTAATGTCCAGAATGAGACCTTCACTCGCACGACTGGGCTGACTCTAGAGTATGCTGGGGCTGATCCTGGACTTGGTCATCTCAACGGTGTACAACGAGTGGAAGCTATTGTACCAAACATACCCACAGCCATTCAACTGCCGGAATTACCCCATTCTTCCGCTGTCCAGGCTCTGCCTAGCACTGTTCCCGCTTGGTGTCTGGTCCCAATGAACGAGTACGGGCATGATCCGTCCTTGGTGCCAGCCACAGCGCCATGGCTCACTCGTCCTCAACTCGTCATTGCTTGTCCGCCTGTCCCAGCCCCGTTAGACCTTCTCCACGGGACTCGGCGCAACTACTTGGCCAACGAGATCCATTGTGCAATTCGACGGCGAGCAATTCGCGACGCGGAGTGCCTCGCACTGGGCTGGCTTGGTTATGTCTACAGTAAATGGCGTGTCTCTCCCAACCCCGCGACGTTTGCGCGTCTGGCACCTTTCCAACAACCAGTCATGACGCAGATCCAGCAGGGTCACCCGACATCATTAGATATGATAATCTGGCCGCAGCTGAGGGTCAATATCATCAGGAACTGGACTAAGTACGACTTCGCTGAACTCATGGGTTATATGGGCTGTTGCACCAAAGTGCGCTGGCCGTGGGGTAAGGATATGCTGGAGCGCGATGCGGATGATAATCTGCAGATTCGTCAGGAGTTTTTCGAAGTGTTTACCCGTGAGAGCGGATGGGGCTTAACGTCGGAGTTTATTGATAGATATCCGGAGCTGATGGAAGGGCTGGATGTCGAGGCTTTAAGGTTTCGGATGATTCTTCCCAGTGAACCAGAGTAAATCGGCTATGGCACGTCAGTTCATCTGTTCTTGACGGCAGGGCCAAATTTATTGCGGGATTCCAGGAGCCATAGACAGCAACTTTACACCCACTCGTTCCAAGTCCATTGTGGATGAAACAGATTTTCAAGAGGATTTGAAAGGACATTGTGCTTTGTGCAAGAGCATTGAAGAGTTGGAATTGGGAATTGAGAACTCCTGTCCCCAAGAGCTCGAAGTCGAGGCCATCACACTCGGCGTATGTAAATCTCAATCAATGGCATCTTCATTGTTTAGATGAGCAAGTCAGTCGCTTGCCAAAGGGCCTCTTGACAATTATGTCCCCTCTCACMGTTAGCACATCCCAGCAACCAAAAGCCCTCGATATGTGGTTCCTTCTGATAAAAGTCATAAACCAAGCCTTCCAAATAGGATGACAAGTATTCATAAAGATGGAAATAGTGAGGGGAATGTGAAGTTCGGTCTTCTTCATGGCAAGACAAGAGCCTCATTGAGGTGCTTATCTCTGAGATTCGTGTGAGAATAGTCAGCCAGCGGTGCTCAACACTTTTCTAGATCATATCCAGGTCCTTTAGGTGTCTATAGAGAGAAACTTACTCCTGACTCGGTCTGTTGCAAGGACATCAGCATGTCCTGTTGTTTCCTGACATGTCCCTAATGAAAGAGTTAGTAGTCGTATCTCCTACAATGAGAAGCAGCTCTCACAAGGCAAACACAGGTCATCTATTACTCAGTCTTGATGTTGGACCTTCTTACTGAGTACCTGACTTCTCACATTATGCTTTACTTTCTGCATACTACTTACTCATTTGACTAAATGTAAGGTTATTAGCTTTTCTTTTCGTGACTTGACTGCTTCCTAGTGAGTGAGCTAAGATCCATTGCCTCCTGGTGTTCCCTGGGCGATGAGGACGAAGCAATTTTCCCAAGTCATCTACTGCTACAAATCTTGGGCCTTAACCTCCCACATTCTTTCGAAACCTGCCTGACTTACTCATCACTCTCACCTTCGTTCCCACTGTTCGTCTTCCTCATTTTTACCACCTCAGTTCCGGTCTACGGACAAAATACTTCTCTCATCTTTTCACAATGGGCGAGACCACATCCGTGGTCGAGGCGCTTCGCGACCTGCAGTTGAAGCAGTCCGAGCTTTCCAAAGCATTTAAAAGCCTGAAAAGGTTTGGACCAGAAGTCGACTGCGAAATGCCCAGCTCGTTGTCGTCGGCATGCAGTCTTCGGGGAAGAGCTCTGTCTTGGATAGAATTTCTCGTGTCCGTCTTCCCACGGACAGCAAGCGTTTCGTGAAGTGAGACGATCTTTTCACCCAAAGTAACATTGAACAGCTACCTTGCAGACACGCCGGACTCACAAATGAAGTGACAATTACCTGAAAGAAGTAATGATCGGGCATAGGCTGTGCCCAAATGCATTTCCAACCAGGATGGTTTCTTGATAATGCAGAGCCTTCTCCAACTTCCGCGCTTTCCATCCAATAGAAGGACCACCGCCAAGCTTGCAAGCAGTTTGCCTTGAGCGCTCAGGACGGACTGCCTCGTATTCCCCTTGCTTGTTGATTTAGTGTTGTGGCATCTATCCAACCACAGCTCCCTGACGAATACAAGTCACACTGCTGGGCGTGATGACTGCATGATGTTCTGCCTTGGTCACTTGTATTCTAATGAGGCTGATCTATTCCTGGCTGCTTCCCGAGTATAAAGATTTGAGGCGTTCAGGTACTATAAAGGTGGGTTCGTTTGCCCCATTCTCTAATTCTATTGACCATCTGTCACTCACGCCATTCGCTCGTCGCTATCCTGTTATCATTCCGTTGATCAGTTATTATCTCAATCTTTACAATGTACAAGGTCTTCACTGCTTCCCTTCTGGCCACTGTTGCTCTTGCAGCAGGCCATAATAACCTCCTTGCCCGCCAGGTTTTTAGCTGCGAATCCCACGCTGGCTACAAGACCTGCATGAATGTTTGCATCCCCATTAGTGACAGCTGCTGTCCCGGCGCGTTCGGCTGCAGGCCAGGCACCTATTGCGACGGCGATGGCTGCTGCCCCAACAACAAGATCTGCACTGGTGGTGGGGGAATCGTTACTGGAACCTTGACTGATACCATCACCTTGACAAACACTCTTACGAGCACTCTGGCAAACACTCACACTGAGACCGCGACGGCTCCTACCACTACTGAAACCACTTCAACCTCTACCTCGACCACCACTTCGACTTCGACCTCTACTTCTACTGCCACATCCACCTCGACCTCAACCTTGACCTCTCGCTCAGTCATCCCCACTCAGCCCACCATCACCTCTCCCAGCTCCCCTCCAAGCTCAAGTCGCTCGCCCTCTGCGCCTGGCTCCTCCACCGCCAGTCCTTCTTCCCCACTGTTCACCGGCGGCGCCTCCAGCATGAATGCCGGCCTCGGTGCTGTGGTGTGTCTGATTGCGGGAGCCGCTCTCCTGTAAAATCTTCGCACTAGTGCCTTGACGGAGCAGTTCTAGTTAGCAGCTGTGGGCGATCTGAAAGGGAATTGTCTTTGCTGTGTATTGGGTACAACTACCATAGCCTGGTCCTAATTTGAATGCAAGTGCTTCATTCATCGGATTTTCTGCTCTCTGAAAGCTCGAAAATAAAATGAGATGATTAACGACGGGAAATACTGCCGTCCGAATAAATTATTGATAGGATGAGCAGCTTTTTGCATTGCTTGCCTCTCGTATCGGAAAGATGAGGGCCAGCCTCTGAGCTGGCGAGACATGCATGTATGATCTCGGGGAAATAGGGAAGCGATATTGTTGCTGTTTGTCCATTGCCATAGTCGATTTGCAAAGATAAGACAAGTCCTCAAACGGGGAGAGAACCGCTTTCTTGAACAAAGACATGTCTTTCAAGTGATGGGCAAATGCTTCACGTGCAATAAGCACAGAAGCCTGAGATTCCTTCAATGCATTACCAGGTAAATAGTATGACGGCGGATACTCCCATCTCACCTGAATCCTCATTGCCTGCTCCCAATCTAATCCACAGATGAAGGGCTGGCGGCAGGGGATGGAGGTACATTACTTCTCTCCAGCGGCAGCTGACAACTCATGATCCTGTTCATCACTTCTCATATCTCAGCGCTTGGCGCATGATGGGCAGACGGACAGGGAACCCCACTAAGTTAAACAACTGCGTCATCAGGAGATAGAACCCGAGCAGGCTCGCCATGATACAGGAAGCACCAGATGCCTGTCACATCACAGCTGACATGAACCACGTTGCATTCATGGCTGGCCGAAGGGGAAATAGACATACCACAATCAGCCGACTACTGAAGAGGGTATCCGCCACAGACAGACGCCAGTATCCCGCGGACAAAAAGACAAATAGATCGAGTAAGCGCCCCTCATCGGGCTGCTTTATTCCCATGCCATACAGACGGTCTGGCGCTCTTGTGCGTATCTGAACGCTTGCAGTGTCAAGAGGATTTCAAAAGATATCTGCCCTTTGAGCTCGACGAAACGGTATTCTGATGACATTTGTGCGGCGTTTGAATCGTTCTTGGCACCCCTAAAGACTTAGTAAAGAGTGTCAAAGATTGTTATGAGAGTATCTACGTTCTTGAAAGGTTCAGAATCTCTCTCCAGAGGTAAGAGCAAAGCCTACCGCTCAATCAATGTTTTCTATGCGCTGATTCAGCACCACAAGAGGTACGACTGGCACATTACGAACGAATTGTGAGACGCAAAACTACAACATAAAATGGCAGCCGGGGAGGAATCTGTTCGAAGTGAAAATAAGGCGTTCTGGAAGTACACTATGATATTCTTCGTGTATCTGTGACCTCAACGGTTCAGCTCGGAACCTTGCATAGACCTCGTCAATGAATTAGGGCTGCTGCTGAGCTGGCATGAATTTGTACTCCAGGCCGTAGATTTAAGAGTGTATACGTTCCTACGTGCAGATGCGCGTGCTAAACAACCGGATGTGATTCGCAAAGATCGATGCACGCAGTGGGTTCGTGAAAGACCACGAGTCAAGGCAGACTAATACCCAAGGAAGAATTCCCTTACGAGATCTGCCGCCCAGGGATGTGTTCCATAAGGTAAATCACCCTTGAAGAGCAAGTGATCATGAGTAACAATGCTCTCAAGGGCAAGACCGCTCCCCCTGTCCTCCCCCAACCGAGAAGAGGCCTGGCTCGTGGGGAGATGTGATCTCCCACTCAAGGTTCAGTTCAAAGAATACCTTGACAATAATGTTATCGGATCTTGTTCACATCTCCCATGCACCGTTTTCTCTTGCCAGGGGGATTAGAAAACATTAGAGGAACAGGTCGTGATTAACCGGGGGCGAGCTTCCAGATGGCAAAGCGATGAAGCTATTCGCAGCTAGCACAGTAGTAACCACAGGCGCCCTGCGGTGTTGAGAGACGGTAGACATCTTGTAACAAGCTGATGAGCTTATAAATATTGACAGTAAGCAAAGACGAGCAGTAAAGCAGTGAATTGATAGATGCTTAGGTGATGTCATTCAATGTAGGAAGGAGCAGTTGTGCTCATTGTGCTGGCAGGTAAATTGATACTTCACCACGGAACCTCACCTTGCTCTCTGTGAATGTGTTTACAAAGACGATGACCACTCATTCAGGGGATCGGGAGATTCACTTTTATCCAGTTGGGATCACGGAACATACAATGACTATGTGGCCCAGATATCAGGCAGATCCTCGGGATGCCTTGAATCTCCGAAGCTTTCTATGTGTCTCCGGATGACCAGCGCGAGGTATGTTCAAGATATACAATTATATTTCATATGCTTATTACCTGTTACGCAGCCGATATTCCCACGTCCTCCCACCCCCAATACCATCTCAATCAGAAGACGTGACCTTTTCGGACCGACCCTCTTGCCAGGGCGAAATGGCAATGACATCCTTCACCTCGATCTCCAGAAATTGCGTGATTCTGCGACGGAGGCCCTCGATGACATGAATCTCGTTCCCGCTTAGATGTGTCAGTTTCAGGATCTTACGAGAAGAACAACAGAATTGTCAATCAACCACTGTGTGATCTCATCCCTGATGCCCCTTTTACGTGAAATGTTCCCATCTGCGGTCGGCGTGAGGGTCTTCGTGAGTGGCTTCATCGTTTTGCAAGCGAGTTCGGCAACTTGAGACTACGTTACGACGTCCTCGAAGATCAGAAGAGGCTCATCTGAGCCAGGCGTTTAGACAAACCGGCATCAACCAACGTGTAATTCGCCCTTAGGAAAGGCAGTCTTCCTTGTTGGGAGCTCGCAAAAGGTACGTGTGTTGAAGGAACCTTTCTGCTCTCATCCATGATGATCTGTATCACTCACTCTACATATGGCGAGCGATAGATTGGTACTATTTCCTTCACATACGACCCAGTCGCATCAAGATTCTCCTGTTCCCCGCTGGTTTTCTCAATGATCTCTCCTTAGTCACCACAGAAGATCATTCAAAGGATCCTCCACGTATTCCCCGATCACACCACACGCGTGGTTGCTTGGGGCGGCTGCAAGGACGTTCTCGATGGCCAGCCAGTTTTTGCCATTGGCCTCAATATTGCCATTGGCAATATTATCCCAAGGTCTGGATATGGGCTCTCGGAGAGAGCCCAGAGAGCAATCGTCGAGGGGTCCCAGTACTTGTGGGACAGAGAGGCGCTACCCCGTCTCAACCCGGTGAACGATGGAGAATGATGGAGACCCTGTCTGACAGAACGTGTCTTGCTGTATGCTTCCAGAATTTCGAGACACCGCTGTACTCCCAAGCATACCTGGAAGATAACCGTCGTGGCCTGCCACCAGAATACTCCAGCAGGCCTGGATCAAAGGGGGTTCGCTGTTGCCAGCAGATTTCAGAGCAGCCCAGAGTCAGTGTGATGAGCCCAGAGACCTCTACTGTCCTTGGGACTTACCCCACCAAGGGGAAGGCTACAACTGAACTCAGAAGGTCGTTTTCCTCCATCATTGACGACATATGGATAGGCAGCAGTTAGTGGCTCAGATTAGCAAATAGTACAACATAAATTGACCGCCGCATCTGGCATGATGCGGTCCCAGACCATATGCAATCCCAGCGTGTCCTGTCACTGCTAGGCTATGTATGACAAGGCTTTAAGGCCAATTTAAGTTACGGCCTGCATTTCCTGCCTTAAGCACGCTCGGAGATTTTGGCACTATGTGGGGAGGTCCACGACTATGAGGCTACGTATGACCGGAAATCGCGGGGGAGAGAACCACGCGCAGGAAAAAGATTTCAGCGGTGGGTCGAAGAGCAGCCACCAAAAGCGACCCGAGGTCCTTTGTCCCGTCCGTGTATTTCTTTAGGGCTGGAGTAAAGTGTAGTAGAGGAGCTGCACGGTGTACTCTGTAGTTCGGATTCCCTGAGAGCGCGTAAACATGGCAAAGGTAGAGAGGTAAAGAAGGAATAGAATGGTTGAGAAGAGCTCGATTGACAAGGAGGAGGGTAGATGACGCCTACGGACACAATTTGCGCCAAGCCAGTAGATGCCTTAATTCCGCCGATGAGGGGGACAAACGCAAAACGGCAAAGGGCAAGACTGAAAGGATTCTTTCTTGGCTGCGGTCATCCCAACAAGAAAAGCAATCACCAGACCTCTGCGCGAAAATTTTACCTTTGCCACGATTTTTTAAGATCAGCATTTCAATCTCCAGCTTTGCTCCTTTGTTAAAGAGCCTATTCTTCCCCACGAGCAGTCAATCCAAGCCCTCGACGGCGAAAAAAAAGTCTTCTCGCTTCCCCTCGGTCTCCAAAAACGGACCGCCTGCGCTAAATTCCGCGGGGCTCCCCATCGCTCTCGCTCGCTACTCGTTCCCAATCGCGCGATCGCAAATTCATAACATCAATCGCAATGGCCGGTCGAAACGTTTCTCACGGCCGTGGAGGCGCAGGTAAGAGATCTGCTCGTCTGCCGTGCAGCGCACTTCTCTGCTCTTCCCAGTTGAGCTAACATCGACCCCCCTCTCCAGGAAACATCTACTCCGCCGCAAACCCCACCACAGCAAAGGATCTCATCACGCCGACAATCAAACAAGATACCTTCACAACCGGTCGCGGCGGCTCAGGCAACATGGTCCAGTATGACCCCGAGCGCCCGGAAATCGCGCGCGAGCTGCAAGATGTAGAATCGCCGCCGCAGCGAGTGGAGGAAGCCCCGCACCATACAGGACGGGGTAGGTTCTGCCTTTCCCTTTCGTCTGCGCATTGACGGCATGGTTGAGCTGACTGATGGTTGTTCTAGGAGGTGTTGCAAATGCGTACGTTCCGAGTCCCGAGGAAGAGAAGAAGGTCCGCGAGCGGGAAGAAGAGAATCTGCAACGGGTTCGGACAGCATCGAGGGATCGTTTGAAGGATGTCAAACAAGCTAGTGAGAAGCGCTCGGGTTCGTCATCTTCGCGGTGATACCTTATATAAGGTTGATCCTGAAGTTTTCACGGTTTTTTGGTTTCATCGTGCGAAGTCTGGACCTGGTTTGATGCTGTCAACAGCATGGGCTCCCAGAACGCCCAACGAACCTATCTCATATTTGGAGAAAATCAAAAGTACCGCTGGCGGTGCTTGATGTCTCTCCAAAATGACTGGGAACTGCGTTTGGGCAGGGTTGATTTGGAAATTGAACCCTGCTCGGATGTAGTCTTTTGCTCTTCCTGCTCGGTCGGTTGTTTTCTTCGCTTCTTTTCTTGCCCCATCTTTTTTACTTCTATATCTTCTTGTAATTGGATAATACCCTTGTTTGAAAATCAAATGTCGAATGAAGAAGCGCTGTTTCTTTCTTGAATTGGTTTCTCGTGGCACGGAATGGATTCACTCGAGCTTCTTCATCTTTGGTGAGATGGTGGAGTTTTGGACGGTCTTTTCCTGTCTATATATCGCCTGAGACTATCTCAGCATTAATACATTAGTACTGGAGGCGCTAGTTGAAGCTCCAATAGGACCCCTGATGCTTATCAACATACGTCGTTGCTTTTTCTGCACTATTTCCCAATCAAAGTCTGAGTGGATTTCTTCCACATAACTCAAGCGATTTCAATGTAATAATACACGTTACTAGCGCTGTAGCTGCTCATTATCGTGAATATGTTGATGTAATTGAGCCATTATCGGCTGATATCTATGTACACAAAAAATGGCCCGGGGCCGGGCCCCCTGTTCTCCGGGCACAAGTATCACGGAGGATGCAGCCTAAGCACAAGACATTAGGTGCGAAATATGTCGGCGCAATTCCTTATGGAAGAATGCTGTGGAATGACCCAAGGACACCTAAAAGGCCCCAGTGTCGACTTTGAATGGTGCGAATGTGAGCTTGTCCCTGATCTCTCATCTTACCAGGGTACTGTCGTCGGACATTGCCAGTAAGCATGAGCTTCGACCGCGGAGTCGGTTTGGGGTGTTGCAGTGTCTTAAGACAACAACTAGGCGGAAGTGACGGCGATCGTGACGTGACAACAGAATCCTTGCTTCAATCAAGTTGGTGGAATATAACAGCCGGTAGCATCCAATACCCAGCTAATGGATTGTCGCCATTGAGAGTCCAGGAGTCGACCTATTTGTTGTATGATCCGTGTACCCCATTCGCCCATCCACCAGCGGCTTCTCATAAAATGAAGAACCACGGCATAATGGGCCAGGATGACCAGGGCGAACGGATGTCGCTCATGTACTAGGTCTATAAACCTCGGCGGAATGTGGTACATCCACTGGAACGCCACGATTGAAGCTTCCTTGCCTTGCGCGAGTTTTTCAAGAGACTCCCCCAGCTGGCCGATGGTTGCCTCAAACATCTCTCTTTCGTGCTTCGGGTACCGGTTGGCGAGCTTTGAGTTCGTCATTGATAAGGACATGATAGCAAGCCGCGAAGTGTCGGGCATCTTGGGGCCCCATTCGTCCTTTTCCAGTAACGGCTTCAATTCCCCGGTCCTGACTTTGTCGGCGATCTGAGCCAGGATATTCATGGAGTTCCTTGCAACGTGGAAAGCCTGGCAAAGATCATCCAGCGCGGTGTTTGTCTGGCTCCGTCCGGCAATCAGTGGAAACGCCAGTGAAGATATGGTCAGGAGACTGCACAAAGCAAAGGCTGCGTCGCAATTCGATTGGTCGATATTCGTGAACGTCTCTTTGGAGCCTAATAGAGCCAGGTCTTTATGTGTCTTTGCCGTTTTCATATATCGTTCGAGCATGTCTCCTACTGAGGAGGAAGCCAGATGCAATGCGGACAGAGCGAGGATACTATGCATCAGGGCCGGATGCTGCATTGCTTCGCGTGGAATGGCAGTCTGCCAAACACTCTCAACATTGCTATTATGAGAGATTGAACGGTATGTTGTAGTACACCACTGCATCATCAACTCCAGATCGTGGACGTTGAGCTTGTCTCTGGCACCGTTGGGACCTGTGGGACTCATCTGGCTCTGGGGCTGAGCGACGCAAGTCAAAACGGAGATAGATGGTAATGAGTCCATTGACGCTCGATTCTGCGTCGATGTAGAGCGTGCATATTTCCAGGACGGCGTATAGTGGCATATTATATCCCGCTTCATGCAATGAGAACATCGGGGATGCTCTTTCCCACACTGTCCGAGTCAGTTAAAACCTAGCAAGGACCAATGGCATGAGGAATCAAGGCGAATTAGATCCATAAATCAAGGAAGAAAAAAACCTCCGTCCGGACACAGACGTTTCCCAAGGCGCCGAGGCTCTCGGCATCCCTGTCATGGTCATGTACATGATGCAGTCCGGGGAGCTAAGAGGCATCATCGACAAGGATAGAATCGCCATAGGTCTTGGAAAAACACCGCCATCGCGTATCACACATACCTTGGCCCGTCGGCTTCTGCATTGAATACAGCCATGACCCCGGCGCAGAGAGTTTCTAGCACTTGTTGTCGGAGGCATCGCGCCAGCCAGCTCCGTCGTCTGAGCCACTCACACTTTTCTAATGATTGAGGCTCAAGAGCTCGATATAATTTCCTGGTGAACCGCCTCCACAATTGTCTTGTGACCAAAGAGCGTCGGGAATGTCCACGAATCAACCCACCAACGCATCGAAGGCACCAGTGCTGGGGTCTGGTATTTAATCTATTTTGACTTCGCACCCGAAAGCACGAGTTAGACCCAGTCAACGGGCTAACGAACGGATTTTCAGGCTCAGTGGGTCTGAGATCGATCGCCGTCTCAACAGTTACCAAAACTGATACTCCTCTCCGACGCTCTGGGGTGACAGAATGAGTAAATGCCTCCTACACTGTACAGGTCGCCGCACCGGCTGCGTTCGGATTTACCGGACCCTGGATGGACAGATACATGCATCATGCACTCGATACTGAGTCCTGGCAGAAATTGGCATTTACCGTTGCAGGAAGAGTCCCGCGGGTAAAAACCACATTGACCGTACTAGGAAGGAGGAAGACGACTCCTGAATGGAAGGAGTCGGTTAGGAATCTCAGGAACCTACTCCGTACTTCCCCCCTTGACACCTATGATTGACAACATTACAGATCTGTGTCCTAACTAAATCCTTGCTAGAGCAACAACGGATAAGACCCAACAGATAATAATGCTATCAATTCTGACAAAAGCTGGAATGCAGATCGGATTGACTATTAACAATTATCGAATATATCGGTCATCGGAACAGAATATCAAGTTTCGCCAATCGGCTACCTCCGTGTTCCCCTTTAAAAACGATTCCTCGATGACCTACAAATTTCCCTCATCCATACATTTGCATATTATTTAATCATGATACGCATGATGCTTCTACTAGTTAACACTATCGACTCGCATATCATTGGGTGATCGTCACATACAGCCCAATTCCTCGTCATGCCATCTTCGGACAATCCACCTGCAACTCCACTTGTTCGTTGTTCCACTGGCTGGACCTAGAAGCCAAAAATACTAATCCGGCGGGCTCTCCACCTTGGCGCTATCCTTATCGGAGTTTGGAGCCAAACTTGCTTTTACCTTTTCGGGTAATTAGTACTCTTGGGCTTGACTCCTTTGATCTACCATCATTGGATCAACGTCTCTAGTTCTCTGACTTGTTCGGGCTCTGCGGAGGGTGGATTTGTCCGTGTAGACGAGACACCGTGAATTGGGAGTCGCAATTCTGATTGATTTGAGTGTTCAGTGCTGAGTATGCTCACGCCTGAGTGAGCTAGTCTATGTCAGGAACTACTAGTTCACATACGATCAAGGTTGAACATGGTGCATTATTATGCAGTCCATTCCAGAAGGTCAACGTACACTTTCAGCTTCAGACACACTCCGCACTTTGTTCGACCATCTTCCAAAAAGTGCATGCGACAGCTCCTGAGCCAAGAAATATGACGAAAGACTCGAGACATTCCGCCTTTCGTTACTCTTTATAATTGAAATCCATATGGCAGTTCTCGCACCAATAAAGCCAGCAACTAGCAACTCGAATTAGATTGTGTCTCCATCGGTGATTTCAACAAGACCATACATATCCCTGTCATTCTTGATCAGTTGGGGACCAATACTGGTTTTTCGGGACAACGGAATATGCAAGGCCACCTAAACTTGGAGCTTACCAAGACTCCGTCGCATTCGCTGAATGGAAAAGTAACAGCCTTCTACGCACCGTCTGTGGCTCCATGTGGTGTCCAAGTTTCGATGACAATTGGCGATATCTTCCTACAGCTGTCGTGTTCACCTGGGGTCCTCTGAGACCATTCCTGAGGGGGAAAAAGGACAGTCTCCGTTCATGTATTTTCCCGTCAACAGGCACATGCCTTTACTTATTACTCACAATCTGAGACCCTTGCGAGCGGTATTCGACAATCCCTCCATTTACCAGAAGGAGCATCACCGGCCAGACCAATAACTATTTGTAGTAAGACTGATCCAGGCTAAGTATGTGTCTATGAAATGCGGTGTCGTGCGGGATTTGCTTTCGGCTAATAAGGCGCTCTCGAAATCATCGTCAATTGACCCTTTCGAGATTCGTTTCCTTGAAAAAGTTAATGGGCATAATAGAACGAGGGAGTGACAGTGGCCTTTTTGAGAAATCCGTCTGTCAACGAACGCCGATCTCGCAAGCAACAACTTAATCATGGACTAAGTTCCCATTTAAGTTGAATAGACTTATCGATAGTGCTTGCGTTACAATCATATACTCTGCCAAACGAGCGATTTTGACTTCAGAGCAACATATTATGCGGCGAAATTAACGGGATTTCCACAGTGGATGTGTTGTCGCCATTCTCCTGGATTACTTGTGAATCTCAGTGCACGAATTTTCCGATCAATTCGTTGTTTTCGGTTTCCAGCCTTCTAAATAGCGGCTCTCTAGGGAAACCGTTAGCCTAACTTACCCCTGAACTCCTACTGACCCAGCCCACTTCTTCGAGAACCATCGACTTCCGTTTCATCGGTCGTCATTTCGCCCAAGGGCAAGAAGAGTCTTCGCGAGGTGCCGGTCTTCAGAAAAAGTCTTGCAAGAGCGTGACGAGAAGATACAATCGAAGTGTCTCATGTGGTGAGCATCAGGCTGACAGGCCTGCAAACTTAATAAATTTCAAAGCAGGCACCTCTTTTGTACTTTGATTGCTGAGAACTTTACCGTGCTGATAGCCGAGCTATGCAAACTTACGATATAACCCCTCGGCCAAAGAGTCACCGGTATACTCGATAAACTCATATGCCTCCGCGTTGTCACGAGCATGTCAGGAGTTCCGGTCTTCGTCCAAGCTGGGCTTTGGGTAGTGGTAAGTTAGAACACCAAGAAGCTCGCAAGACGAACCTTCGTTCGATGCCCATCCTGGACATGGATAGTTAGGGCGAAAGCCTCTAAGATCTTAGACTGGGCACTCTAGTCGAGGTGGCACAGGGGCCCTCAGAAATAACCGAACAGTCTTGAGCTCGGCCAGTTCTTGTGATGAGCCGCGAAGCTTGGAGGTCTATGAAACTAGGTACTTGAGAGACGACATGATCCGGGCACATATCGACAGACTTCTTTCTCATTGTGGCAACCACGAATATGCCAAACGAGAAACTGTCAACCCTCCACGATCTTTGTCGTCGATCACAAATCGACCATTCATACTGCAGCCATGTTGCCAATGCCTCTTCTTGTAGGCGATGGCAGAGTTGTCGGCATGCCTTGCCCGTCGTTCTATGACATTCCAATAGGATGCCCCTCTGGGTATGTCTGTTTCTCTGTTTCTACACCTAGGCATCACCCACTTGACCAGTGACCAAGTCCAGCATTGCTTGGTAACATTAACTCTCACTGGAAGAGAAGGAGAAGATACCAAGGAGGTCTAATGTTGTGCGGTACTGCCCTGATTCAGTCGTTATTGGACTAGGCTCTTATTGCGCACATGTGCCGAGACCTCAAACATCTCCTCGACGCCATCGTCGACAACTAAAACTCACTGAGGTGGGTCGATCAGCTGTCGAATCTCTTACACAGAAAGTATCACTCAATACGAATTCTAACATATCGGGATCCTCTTGGCACAACTGCGTTCGATCCGATGATGAACACGTCATCACGGCGTCTGATTCTGTGGAGAGCTGGAGGGGCATCATTTGGTGAGGTCTCTGTGAATGGTCGCTGGAAAGATGAAACGCATTGCCGGTCTTACCTCTCAGATCGGGATTTGATTATAGAAATGATTGACCGGAAAAGCATTTGCTTTGTGTCAACCACTGACGATAGGAGCTGCCTAAGGCAATTATAAGCTGTTTCCTCTTGGGGAAACCATTGTACTCTTGGCACCGACGCGGGTGTATGGCCTCAGGCAGCCATGTCTGGTCGGATCCGGATTTAGGACGGAGATGATTGGATTCAAGAACCAAGTTGATTGCTTTCATTCTCTAGGTAATTTGGTAGCCTCAAGAAAACCTACATAGTACATGCGCAGTACTTAGTGAATAGATATGATACCAACTTTTTTATTCTGTGCACACTGCTCTTCCACCGCAGCCGCCCAGCCTTTCACATAAAAGAATTTGAGTACTCTTGTCGTACTGAAAGCTGGACTCCCGGGTGTCCTGCTGCTAGAGGTCCGATGATGAAGAAGAACGAAGTGGGCAATGTGGTTTTGGGTTACACCATGAGGCGTAAACCCCGTCCTTTATGAGCGGAGATACACCAACCTACTGCAAGCCAGCCAAAACAGTCACTTGCAGTATCTAGTGACACTCGAGAAAACGGAAGAGGAAGAACTCCATTGACCAGAATTTCTTGCGCGGGATTTGCTCCAGCCGCAGCAAGCTCACCATCCCAGAGAGTGTATTGTATTGGTGCATGATATCACATTGATGGGGATTCATCCGCTGATGATCTGACTAAAAAGGGACAGGTGCATCTTGGGCCGCAAAGAAGATGCCAACAGTCAATCTTGCAGCCAGACGTAAGGCTTGATGGACTTGGGCGACTGGAATAATATTCTCCGACAGCTCATTAGCTCAGACTTTGATCGATATTCCC